GTACTCCAGTCTACATCTGTATTTAAAAACAAACAAATGATCCCAACATTATTTTTTTAAAGTTTTTTTTAAGCTTCCACTAAGAGGAAATATTAAAAACAATGCATCAGGTAATTGGGAGACTTCTTAAAATCAAATATGAGGAGATTCATTGCAAAAATGAAAACAAAAGAGCATGCTCTTAAGGCCATATGATGTGATAGCTGAACTAGTTGATGGTTTTCAGTGGCATCCAGACATCATGCCTGGTGTTTCCACAGTGTGAATTCCTTAGGAGGAGCTCAATGCAAGACTGAAGTACTCCCTATCTTGCTATTCCGTTCTAATTCTTTGACAGGAAAAATGGGAACTTGCCCAAAATCCTCTGTAGTTTCACTTTCTTTCTTGAAATCCTTCCCTGCTTTCCTTTTTAACTTTGTCACATTGTTTGGATTAGGACAGATTCAATTTTAAACAAAACCTCCGTACCAGCAAAGGGAGAGACAAGGCCAAAGGGGTTTGTCGCATGCAGTGGCTCTGAAAGAGCCAGCTCTGTTGAGCTGGAGCATGCAGCGACCGACCAGTAGTGTTTATTCTGCTGTTTCTGACTTTCAGCCTCTAACCTTTCCAGTATTTTGAGAAATACTGAACTCTTTAGACCATGAGAGTTACAAGCATTGTCATTTATCTTAAGTATCTGTAGGTATTTGTGAGGAATCTCTGTCTTCCCCCAGGTGAGAATCAAGGTTGCTCTGTCTGCTTGTCCTGGCTCCCAAATGAGCACCCCTCTCTTTAAGTAGGAGCTGAAGAAGTGGTGTGGCTGTATGGATACAGCCTGGTTTTCACCAGCCCCCTGTCTTCTCTTGTGTGAAGTTTGGAGGGTAGTTTGGTTCCATTTTTGCACAGTGCATAGTAATGTAAGACATCTTTATAGTGCTCCAGTATGGTCAGCTACAGTGGTAGAGTAGGAAAAACTAACCAGAGGAGTTAGATTCAGTCCCTTCAATTAAATGATTTGAAGGGATTTATCACCAACCATTTATTAAGAAAGGAATAAATTATATATTTACACATAAGTTAAATGTACATATTCTCTTGCATCATTGCTGTGGACTTCAGCAATTGATCTTTTCTGGGGGTGGGGGTGTGGTGTGTGGGGGGGTAATAAGGAAAAGTTACACTTATTTTTCTGGTAACCAAAAAGCCACTCACGTGTTTGATTTTTAAGACTGGGCTACCTCAGAAGAACTATTTTGAAAACATAACCTTGGCTGCCGTTTTCTCCAGCAACTGATGCTTTTTTTCAAGTAGGGGCACATATGCTCGGTGTTAAACAGTGTTGTAGCGCAGTAAGGATATTCCAAATAACGTATGCATGGCGTGTATATTTATAGAGAGTCATATCTCATGGTGGCGCTACAGGTTATAATAACAAAAGTGGTTTATATTTTAACAAACATCTTTCTTTTATGTCAAAGAACTAAGTTTTCAGACCATGGCAAAGTGATAGGTATTTGAAGAATGTAATTTCTTGCTGCTTTCAAGACAGTGGCAAGCCTATTGAATAACGAAGTAGTAATATCATTTTGATTTCTGCTGAATACTGTTTTATGGCATTTCTGTTTCAAGGCCTATTGAGAAGTTCAGACCTGCTTAGTTCTCCAGGTAGCCCTTGGTGCATCCTGAAAATTGTTTAAAAATAACATAATACATGCCAGTTCAGGACCTGAAAATTAGGACACGAATATATGAGGGTTGCTCACGTAGTTGTGGTTCAGCACTTGCTGCACCTGCATATTGCTAAATCTCAAACTACGTCATTGCACACCATTTGTTCTGCAGGAAACCTGCCTCGTTCAGTGCTAAAGATGGGTGTCTCGTGTTGCAAAGAGAAGGTGACATGAAGAAAACACAACGTTGTTCTTTCATTTAGGGGATGAGACTGGGTTGCAAGAGCAGTAAGTTCTGCTCCCTCAGGCTATGTGCATGTAAGGGGGGTGAACTCTGAAGGGAGTGTTGCTTCTGACATCTGCTAAATTTTTTTGTACGCTTGACTTCTAAAGATGAATGTGTGTTTATTATAATTTTAAAAGGTGCCTTAAAAGTTAGCCATTAAAGCATTGAAATTCTTTTCAAAAGGACAGAGGAAGTCAGTATTTCAAAGTGGAATAAATCAAAGCACAAGGTACTCTTTTTGTTGTGTTCACTTGTGTCACAGTTTAGCCTTGTGACTCTAATCTCTTCCTTCCGTTATAGGTTAAAAATGCCAAGGATAGCTGACCTTCAATTTTTATAATATAACTTGACGTGACTCTGGTCATGTTGGGCGTCAGGGAAATTAAATAAAATGTCTTATTTGGAGCAAAGAATACATGACGTTTTGTCTGTCATACCGTGTGCACTTTATTCCTGCTTGAGATAATTTTTTTCGAGTTGCTATGCTCTTTTTGAAGACACTTCGTTCTTTTGGTTTCAACTTTAAAAAACAAACAAACAGCGTTCTTTGCTCACTTTGTAGTGTGTTTCAGAGAGTCACACAGTGGTTAGTGACTCTTCTTTCATGCTGGGTAAGGCTACAAGGAGCTGTTGCTCGTGAGGAGAATTACAGATGTGTTTGTAAGTGAAGAAAAAGCAGGATTCAACTTTTTAAAATGTATTTAGCGTGGGCGTCCTGCTCGTGTTTATGTATGAGATTCACATCTTACTGGAACATCAGGATATGAGTAAAATTACTTATTTTCTTCTAGAACAAACAAGAGACTATAAACTGGGGGAAAAAAAATCCTGCTATGTCAGATTGTTTCCCATATGCTCAGAGAAAGGAAGAAAGATGCATACAAATGTTTAGCATGTGCAGGTTTCTTGGTGCATGGCTGGTTCCCTACTTAGGAGTGGAATTCAGTGAAATAGGACTCCTCTTTTAAAAACAAAGAGTAAGCGCACAACAAAGGGTAAGTGATCAAATGATTAGCCAGAGGCTAATAGAAATGCAAGGGAAGAGTGACAGATTGCATATTAGGAGGAAATCTGATCTGGAAATTAATTTGAAGCTTTCTGCAGCTGAGGCTGCAGAAGAACTGATTTTGAAATCTTTCTGAAGATCTAAATATATGAAAATTGGGACTTGCTTGTGTATAAAGTGTTGTGTAGTACAAGAAAGAAGGCTAAAAGATAAATAAAGTTGAATTACAATTTAGAGGAATTTTCCTTCTCCCCCTCCCCCCGCTTAATTTTTTAAAAATCTGCCTTTGCTTAGAGTGAAATATGCATCTGCCAGTAGCTTAGCGTGGGAAATGGCGTTAATTTACTTACAAATTCTGGTGATTTAAGAATATGCATGCTGTAAGGTTCTCTGTGGTTGAATCTACATTCTGTTGTATGCAAATAGGAGAGTAGAATCAGGACAGCAGATAAATACCTCAGCAGGCACAATCAACAGCTACATATCAACAAGGAAATATACTTGAATGTTGGAAAAAACAGAGCTTTTAATTGGGAAGAAGTGAATATTTCCTTATTTAGTAACCTACCAAATGGCCTTAATTTAACTTGCGGTAGGTAGATGTCACTTTGTATTAATAGAATTCACTTTCTTTATAGAGACCACATTACTTTTCTTCAAAATTCAATGTTAACTGCTGTAGTACAGCAGTATCTGAGTCCACATGGTTTTTTTAATGTTCGAAACATTCCTGTAAAAAAAAAAAAAACAAACAAAAAAAAACAAACCAAAAAAACCCTCAAACAACACACCCCCCCAAAAAAAAACCACCAAAAAAACAAGCAAACAAAAAAACCCCACAACAAAACAAACCATAAACTTATGAAAAAATCAGCTTACGGAATTTTGCTGGTTTACTTTTTTAAAATTTATGTTTTAATTTTAAAGCGTTAATAAATACACCACGGCAATAGTCTAAAGAATTGTAAATACGGTAAAGTTTGACTACAACAGATGAATTTGTGTCAAGCTTTAAATGTGACTAGATTTTTGTCGGCGTGTTACTGAAGTTACTTGCTGCTGAAGGATGGAAATCAGTTTCATGAAGGCTTTGATATTTGTGGAAGCTGTTTGGAAAGCTTGATTTTTCTGAGTAATTCTCTGCTGCTTTTTGCTTCATATAAGTACTTGCTGCTTCTGTAAAAGAAAAAAGTGACAGGAACAGTATGTGAAGGTATCAGGTTAGTAAATTTGTAATTTAAAAATCTGCTTATTTATGCCTTTGATCATGTTATATAATAAAGGAGAAAAGTGATGCAGTGAAGTAGCTTTTGGTTTTATGTGTATGTATCGTCGCTTTCTTCTGAATAGAACTATAAACGCTTAATTTCAAATGACACTCCCGTAACAGAAACTAGCAATTTCTCTTCTGATTCACAGTTCCTGTGTAGTTTTGCACTCGATGTTGTTGCTGGGTTCTTCTTGGTGGTGTGTTTAGCATGAGAAGCAGAGATCTGTCACTGATAATCCTCTTACCTTCCAGTGCCAAACTGTGCAGTTCATAAAAAAACTCTTTCAAGTCCTATTCTTGTCTTTAAATTTCTGTCATGTATTTCTTTAGTACAACAGGCACTGAACAACAATAAAAACTGAGTCTTTTAAAAAACCTACTGTATTGATAGAAGCAAATCTTACTATTTACTCTTGTCATTAAAGAGTAAAGAGGGAGGCGAAGTGCTGCAGCCTTGTAGTCAGTCTCTAGCCTGTGGGTCCCTATTCTCAGGTAAAAGGTCAGGCCTGTAATTTATGTTGTTTTGCCTTTTAGTCCTTTGGATTATGCTTTCCTTGTTTCAAGACTCACATCATAACAGTCGCTTTGGAGACATTAGCTAACATCAGCACAATACTCGGAGATTTGCAGCTATTTTTAAGGGAAAATAAATTCTGATTCTGGTGCCGTGGTGTCTAATACATTGCTGAGATGTCCCAATCATAGTCGCTCTAGTTAAGGTGTGCTAATCATTACAACCAAAGATATTGGTATTCCTCTGCTGAATCTGTTCTTCTTCTGTTTGCAGCGATGTCATCTTACCTTTTAATTGTTAAGTCTGAACTTCCTGGTGCTGTTGCGGGGTTCTTAAGTGGAGACGAGAGCGGGTAAGGGAAAATGCTTCATACATTCCGTGTTTGTCTTGAAGAAGAAAGTGGTTCGGGACTGCTGAAGGAGATGGGTACTGGCACTTCCCTCTGATCTCACATGCTAAAAAAATCAGTTATTTACGGGAGTTCTTGGAATATGAAATGTATTTGGCATGTGCAAGCCTTCTGCAGCACACACACACACAGAGCATGATTCTTTCCTCATAACAATTTCCCATCAGACGACCTTAAAGTCAGTGGCAAAACTCCGTCTCAGAAATCTCCGTTCTGTAAAAATTTAAAAGGGGAAGCAGGAGGGGACAGGAGGGAGAGGAGCAACGTTTAAAACTGCTGTCATGTTATCACTTCACATATTTCAAAACCACAGTACAAAAAATGGCAGACGTTTAAATTTAAATATTTTGTTGTCTTGCTCCAGTAATTGAACTTGTCTTGGGAAAAATGCCAGGTTTCCAGACTTGGTTTATGATTCCTTAACTTGGCTCCCAGTAAAGAAATTATTCTTCACAATTGAGCTATAAAGCTTGTATGTAAGGAGGGTGTCCCTCAGATTTCTGTCAGAACAGTCACAAGAAATCTGTGCCCGTACTAAGACAAACATTGCCGCTTCAGCACAGAAATACCTTGTTTGAGTGGCTCCAGTGCTGCTGTCATTCATAACAGTGTATCTTAGATTGTGTTACGGCTGTCTTTCCAAACTGCTATTTTCGTATGTTTTGAGCTCAAAATTTTCTCTGGATTGACATGTGGTGAAATTGTCGCAAGGCTGTGTGATGCTTGTGTTGTTCCTGAACATTGTGGTTGAATTTTAAGTTTGAAATTAGTTTTTTAAAAGTTACTTTAGTTCATTTGTATTTTGTCATTTATAACTTTTCCATTTTATAACGAACATTTTGATAGATGAAGTATGGTTGTAACCTTGCTTTCTATCTTTCTGCCCTCTTGGCCCTTGCAATATGTTTTTAGCAAGGGGCTTTTTTTTTTTTAACTCATGTTTTATATGTATGTGTCATTTTTAGTTTGCTAATGTGTCTCTTCCAGCTGTGATAGTCATCAGCTTTTCATTTGGGTGCTATCACCTGCTCCTTCAAGATCATACTTTTAACTCCACTCCTCATACACAGCGGTTGAGCCTGCTACTGTGTCTGCTGCACGTGTGTTCCAGCCTGGCTGTCCCCAGATTTAACACTTGAATATCACATCACTTAGCACTGTTTTTAATTTTATGTCAGCTCTGTTTATGCAAAGAGGCTTTTCCCAAGAAAGATGCACTTTTAAACAAACAGCTTATGAAAACTAGGCAGAATCTGGAGGTTCCACACGCGTGCCTACTGCTCAAAGCATTGTTCTGTCTAAAAAAAGCTGTTTATAACTTCTTTAAGGGGCCTATTCGGTAACACTCCCACCAGCTTTGTTTGTCAAGGTCCTAGCACAGATCTGGATGCGAACACTGGTGAACACGGACAGGTTGCAGCGGTTGAACTGGTCACTACAAACCATCTGGGCCATTGTCATTCTCGGTGCGCTGTCAGCACTGCCACCACCCATACTTCTTCCTTAGCTGAAGTTACAGTTTGAGGTGGGAATGGAGTTCCATTTTGCATTTAGAAAGAGCTGAAGTTGTCCGTAGGAATACTAACCACGGCTCAAGTGGTAAACTGATCGTCAACCCAGGTCTCCTCCTGTTTCTGCCTCTGTTATTGGGAGTTCTGCCGTTGAGAAATGCTTGTTTGGCACAATTTGACTCAACTATATGCCCACATCTATATTTCATATATTTTGCTGTTATCAATTGTCATGGTAGATCATCATCTTTTGTTTCTGTGTGTTTCTTTGCGGATGTTAAGAGTATTTTTTTTTTACTAACAGACTTTTAAAATCATAGAAAATCAACAAAAGTAGGTAATCAAATATCAAGCCAAAGTAGCAACTTATTTATGGAAAGGGCGTAAATATTGACTGTTTTGATTGAACTTCTTTAACTGGACCACTTGTTTCCAGATGTGGTTGCACAACGGTTCTGGTTTTGTTAAGTCATTATAGCATCTGATACGCTTTCATTCGGGTGCAGAATTTATCTTTAACTGTAGTTAGAACGTATCGAAAGTGTCAGTTAAACGGTCTGTGAAAATCTTTTGTATGCATAAACCCTCCCAAGCCGTGCATTTGGGAAAGCCATTTAAAGACTGTTTTGCGCACTGAATTATTTTTGTAGATAAAGGTTAGCAGGTGGGCGTGTGTTCGAAGGGCTCAGAGCCAGCGTGTAACACGTCTCCGTGTCTTGGTTAAAAAACCAAACCATACAGTATGAACGCTTCCTAATTGCGAGTTGAGAGGTTTCAGGCTGTCTGCATAACAAGAATTCCACATAGTTCTGATGACATGAATGTAGTTTCAAATGGGGATTGTGTTAAAAAGCTGTAATTTGTGAGCCCTCTGTTAACATTTAATGACCCTGTCAGGAGGACGTGATTGATGCAATTAAGTTGTCTTGCTTGTGTGTTATATAATTGATACGGACTGAGAGTAAGATCCTAATTCAGAACATATGAATCTCTTGTCCTGTTGCATTCAGGAATGAAATTAAAGCGATTTATAAATGTCTGCTTTTAGTTAAAACATGGGGGAGGTAGGAGGAGCATCTGCATGCCAAAGCATTTTCAGTAGAGTCAAGGATTTATGTTCCATATTTCATATTTGGAACGCTTTTATCATACAGGATTAAATTTGCAGATCAAACTGATCTTAAAAGCAATATCAAAACATTTATTCTGCCTTTGGAAAATAAGTATATTTCTATGAAGTATTTTGAGGAAAAAATGGACACATTTTTTGCTAACCAGTCAATAGTCCGCTATTCAGTCTTTTGAGATCTTTTTAAATAAAAGAATTGGTATTCCATAATTTAGCAGTTAACACAATTATTTTTTTCTCTTTCCCATCACCTCATTGCAGTTTTCCTCTCTATTTTCCCTCCCTCCCCCACAAATGTTTTTTCATTTACCATTAATTGACCAAAATTATTTTTTTCTCTGTCATGCTGAGCTTGTGAGCTGCGATGGGAACTGTGGATTTGCTGCGTGCTTAGAATCGGTAGGCTTAAAACAGAGGTCCCATGTGTACACACAGTGCAGCATTCATCATGCTTTTGCCTGCTGCTATGGTCCTGTTCCTCCTAATCTGAACATCCGCCAAACTAGAAAGAAAGAAAAAGTTTAAAAATACATGAAGGTTAAATGGTAACGGCACAAAGAATGCTGCAGCGGGGAGCTGGTACTGGCAGAGTTGCTGTTTCACTGTTGCAGTAGCAGACTTAGACTAGTAGCACATTTTTTTGGGAAGAATTATATATTTTGAGTAATTTTTAATATAGACATTGTCACTTAAGGGTTGCTTTGATTTTGATATAGTGAAGATGCCCTCAACCCTGAAGTTAATATAAATTAACCTCTGTTAATTTATATTACATATTTTTTCAAACAAGTGACACAAGTGGCTGTCCACAATGTATGACAGTAATTAATACATCTGTTAATTTTTCTGTAACACGGGTGTTGTGCTACTTGCCTTATGATAACTTGAGGTGCTGCCTGTTTATTAGGTGCTAACCATATCCTGGACTAAATAAACTTGAAGGTCAAAGGCCGAGGTGTTTATAGGTAGTAAAGTTGGAGGCTGATGTGCAAGATGTTTATCAGTACAGGATATGGTTATTACCAAGTTAGGGGGAGCCACCCTCAAGATGTTTCTGTTTCTTAACAACTTATCCATCTGTACTTTCCTCAGTTTGGAGATGAGATTTCGGTACCTGGAATAGATTTTAGATGCATTAAGACTTCATATGCCTCTACAATGCTTTTATGTCTGTATAGTTTTATGTTTAAACATTATAGCAGATTTCATTATCACAATTCTCATACCTTTCTGTTCTTTAATTCTTATGTGCATGTGTGCAAAGAATGAGTGATCGCTTTGTGCCAAGTTAAAGATAGGAAAGTCCTCGTGGTTGCTGTTTTTTCTTATGTCACCTCTGGACAGCAAACATCACTTCAGATTAACTGAATGTTGGTTTATGTATTATTTTCTTCTATTATTTGAATGCTGTGATGATAGGTAGGGCAGAAGAGAAAGTTGGTGTGGTTAGAACACGTATCTGAATTTCCAAGCCAATGGGTTGGGTAGCTTAGCTTGCTTTTTCACTCCTCCTGGAAGTGGTAAGGAGCTAAGGTCATGTAGGAGTAATAAACTGGAAGGGAAGCTCAGCAGTGAGTGGGAATTAGTGATGCTGTTTCTTCCAGTTGTGCAAATATGCACCTCGGTGTAATCCAGTTCAAGGTGTTTGTAGCGTACTATGTAAGTATTTCTGTTGGAAGTCTGTAGAGTATGAAATACCTTTGCCCTCTGAGCATCGTTTTGAATCGGGGAAGGATTTGCGTATTGTGCTGCTGAGAAATAACTTCACGCACATCAGACCCCTGATCCATGCAGACACTTGCCCGTGGAACATTGCCTGCAATGCTGGTTCGTTACGGGATGGTGCTCTGCTTCCTCGTTACCTGGGAGCTTTGTTTTCCATCCCAGCATAGAAGCTAGCAATACAAATCCATGTAAGCAGCATGTGAGACCGGAAATTATTAATTTTCTTGTCCTAATGGTTATTTTGTCTAAGATCATAGCTTCAAAGTAGAACATATTTTTTAGGACTCTTGCGCTTTGTATCAATCATAAATAGATTTTCCGACAGGTCTTGGTACCTTGATGGGAGACTGCTGCTGCTGATTACTTCAGTCTGCATTGTTTTTCCTCTTGCACTTCTTCCGAAAATTGGTGAGTAATTAAAGGGGAGAAGTGAATATTATTCTACTTTAGTAGCAATTACGATTGAAGACTTTAAAACCTTAATGGGTTATTTATTTATTTTAACTGGCAGGGGGTTGGTGATGGTGGGGATTACTTAAGTTCTTGCAGTGTGTTCTGCCTTCCAGCCCTGCCTAGTTAACCTATTACTTGGGTTGCGGTAGTATTTTGTCTGCAATACTAAAATAAAATCTTTACAGCAGAACATTAAAGAGCTGCATTTACTTACAGCATGCCATTAGTGGTAAGCCAGTTCTAATTCTGCCCTACAAAACTACATAAATGATCTGTGACAGGCAGTTGGAATGTTGTTATTCTGAGTCCTAAGCCCCAGATACCAAGCACTGTAATAGAAAACATGCCTAAAATGTAAAGCTTTAGCTGTACATTAGGATCACTTTCCTTATAAATTCTCTTTTATTTTTACTGTTATTTTACAGGCTTTCTTGGCTACACAAGTAGTTTATCATTTTTCTTTATGGTGTACTTTGCTCTTGTGGTAAGTTAAAAATCTGCGCACAGCTTATCTATTTTTTTTCTTATTGTTCGAATGTTTTCGTAAGTCTGTTTTGAAATGAACTGTCTTCCCCTCCCCCCTGAACTTTTTATGTGAAATTAAGAGTTTTCCTGAAGTTCAGTATGTGCTTGTTTGGACAGATTACATTTGTTTTGCTGAGGCATGGAAATGTGTATGAGCTTTCAAGCATGTGAAAAGATTTAAAACAATTATATTTTGGACTGGTAAATGTAACAATATTTTTGTTTTGCTGACAGTGCAGCGAAGGGAGCTGGCACATAGACTTTTGTTTCCCTGCTAGCAGTGGAATGGAATTCTGTTTTCTTAGCTTCTAACTATTACTTACTGCAACTAGTGCAGAAGAAAATTTAATATACTCCAAATAAATTAAATTTACATGTGTAATGGAGTGACAGAGTTCAAAAAAAGGCAAAGAAAACTAGAACTTCATTAAGGCAGTTTACAAGATTCATTAATACGTCAATGACCTTATTCTTCTCTCCCACTGAAAGGAAAAGTTCTTTGAGCCATATGGGGGTTTTTGACCCTGATGTTCGCCCTCTCAAGGCCCCTGCGAGGTAGATGTTTCCAGATATCAAAAGTGAGACCTGCTAGGCAGATCTAAGAGGGAAAATGCTCCTTTAAGTTGCACTATTTTTGTTTTTACAGGGAAAAAGTATGTTAATGCATATGTGTAATATGTAGTACAACCAAGCAACTCGCACTCTGTCATCTAGGTAGAGAAACAAGAATCTTATCTGGGAGCCTGGAAAACTGTTCCCCCTCTCCCCTGTCATTCTGGCTTGCATTGACTTGCGTTTAATACCTGTTTTACAAAGGGATAAACAGAGTTGAAGGCAAGTTGAGCAAACATGCCATCCAGGAGACCAAGGCAATCCATTAGGAACTAAACCATGTGATAAAACCAAACTTCAAAGCTGTCAAAACATCTCCCTAGGGTATCCCTGGAGAATTGCAGTGTTTGTAGGACCTTGGGAAGTATTCTTCTTAAGCTGAACATTGAGGAGCAGCCACAGCCTCTCCAGAGCTAATGGAAATTCATTTGTAATATTTATAAATTACCCTAACTTTTGACCTCTCTCCTAAAATTTATCTTAAAAATGAATTTTTTTTTTTTAAAAAAAAGCACTAACTGTAATGCTGAAATAGGCCTTTGGCTGAGGATAGTTGCAAGAGTTTTAAAATGAGTTCAGCTCCTGGATTTCAATGGGAATGAAAAATGCTGTCGTAATGGGTGGGTGCATTTGAAAATGGTTTTGGGCTCAGAGAAAAGCACGTGTGTAAGCAAGGCTTGTGTGCAGACATGGCAAGCTGGGCTGATTTAAGCTAGGGTTTAGTTTTGATTCTGTCAAAAAAGTAGGAAGAAGGTACTAATGAAGGAGTGCACAGACTACTGGATTTCTTACCAAGTGGTTACATGTCTGTGCTTACTCTCAGTTGTTAAATGACAAAGCAGCAGCCACAGTAAATCTGTTTAAGGTCTAACATTTTTAAAAGCTGTTAAAGATAGTTAAAAGAAAACTAAGACTTCACAGAATATTCTCTCTGACTTCTTTAGGCACTGAAACTCAAAGGTATTAACTGTGGTCTAGTTTTCATATCTAATTGCTTTGAAGTGGGTGATATGTGCTGTTGAAATGGTGTTTTAGTTTGCACAATGTTAATTTCTGTATGGCAGATAGGTTTTAATTTGTTCCAGAAGAAAACTTTGTTAGTCATATGGAAGTAATACAATTATATTTTGCATATACAATAATTCTGTGCATTTTCAAGTGGATACCATCTGTTCAGCTTTTTGCCAGCAAGCCACAGTTTTAGGACAGCCTGCAGAAAAGATAGGTACAATAGACAGCATCTGTCTTGGTCAGTGTTGTCTGGTGAGTGCGCTGAGCAAAAGGTCTAGAGACTCTTTGTTCTCTGTGCTCTGCTGCGGGGCTTGGGCAGGTCACGTCTCTCCTCTCTGTGCTTCAGTATCTTTTGCTTTAAAGTTAATATGCTGGTTGTGCTCCTCGCTTGGGAAAAAGTGAAAACACCGAGATGAGCTCATCTGGGAGAAACCCAAATACATGTAACTATTAATTCAAAGCCAGGTTCTGTGAGGTCCTGAGCACTTCTGTTTCTGATCGTTGAATACTTCCCTGACTTGAATCCTACGTGAAAAGAAATTAAACGTGATCGTTAAACTTTTTTTTTTTTAATTGGCTCTCCTCTTGCTATATTGAATATAGGTGAGGCGTAAAGACATTTTTCTTTTTCTTTTTCTTTTCTTTTTTTTTTTTGTGGAGACAGACCTATTGGTAGCTTGTTCAACAAAGGTGTTAATGATTCTTGATGGTATTTTTTTTAAATCTCTTGTTTATGTTCCCAGAACAAAATGTGATTCAGATTGGGAACCTGCCATATGTAATGAATGATATTGTGCACAGAGAGCCCCTCTTTGCTGAGTGCTGTCATACTGCTGGAATGAAGGGATTATTCCTGTTTTCCCACCACAGGATATGAAAAAGCAATATCACTGCAAATATTAGAACATTTTGGGCCTCTAACTTGATTTTTTAGCAGTGTTTTTGGGGTGAGCTTAAAATAACCTGTTTCCACTGTACTCTCTCTTTAGGTTTTAGGGTTTTTTTTTCACATAAACCAAATGTTTGTCATGCTCAAAAGACAACATTTATATGAAATAGGCTTAAAGTTCCAGAAGAAGATTGTGCTGCCTGCATGACTGCTCAGCTAACTGGGTCGTGCTGCCAACTTAAAAATCTCTTCCTCTTGGGGGGGCCTCATTAGACTACAATTGGAAACCCAGACAGATTTTTTTTTTTTAAGAATTAAGCAGGTTGGTAAATGTAATTACAGATTTTCTAGTGCATTTTATTTTATCTCCTTTTATATCCATTTCAATCTGTTCTTAATCTGTATTAATTTTATTTTAGAAAGATGTTCTTCAGCTTTTTAAGTTTGGCTTGTCTTGTCCTCCCTCTGCAATGTTTATATCTGTCTTCGCTCTTTAGCATGTCCCCACCACTGCCAGGCACCCTGTCCTTCCCCCAAAGCTTGCACCCTTCTTGCACCCTTCCTCAGGTGAGGTTGCCGTTCACATTGTGCAGAGGGAGGCAGTTTAGCCAGTCAGTACGCAGGCAAGAACAGATCTCCTGGTATAAAGCAGTGCCAGTTTACTGTCAGAAGCGTGGCTGGAGGATTTCCATTGATAATCCTTTTTCACAAAGTTTGCAGACTGCTGTGGAGCAAGCTACTACCTAGTCCCGTCCCTTGAGCTGTGAGTTGTTCTTAGCCATGCAATTTAAGACGTGCGGTGTTGCCGCAACAGACCCAGCGTGCCGTGTACCTGCAGTTTCCTTTCCCCACTTTCTGTCCGGAGGTAGCATTTGTTTGCTTCTCCTGGCACGGGTGACAAGAGGGAGCATCTAGCCCTTATCCTCTGGGAAACACCACTTGGCTGCAAGCAAAAAGTAGTTTTCTGCGCCAGGAGAAGAGCTCTCTTCCATGTTATTCTTCTCATGAATCTGAGTCTTTAATTAAGTTTTTAATTATTTGCTCTAGGCTTCAAAAGAATTATAACCTCTGAAGCCAGGCAACTACAATAGGAAATTAATTAGGGTGAGGAAAGCAATGCGACTGTCACTTTAAACTAGGCTCCTGAAAAAGGAGGTAACATGTCTTATTTTAATTTCCCTTTGATTTTCAGCTCTGTTACTTGGCAGTCCCTAAACCAGCAGGGTGTAGCTAAAGCTCCAATGACATTCTGGGACAATAATTGCATTTATTGTTTTTCCTTTGCTTTCTAGTCCAAACCATATGTTTCTGCCTTTTAAGATTAGCCTTAGGCTCTGCTCTATCTCTGTTAAGGGCTTGTCTACTTAGGGAGGGAGCCTGGGGTAGCTAACACAGCAGCTCCTCTGTACGGGAGGCAGTTAGTGTGCAGCACAGGGAGAGTGAACGCGGAGCGCTGGTTGTGCTTCGGTTAATGTCAGAGCCGGTTGCAGTGCCCCACCTCCAGATAGGCACGCCATGAGGCTGCCAGCTGTGCCTGGTGAGCAGCTGTATGGAATGGCACTGACAAGCTTTTCTGTCAAGTCTCCTTCTTGTGGCCTGTCTACCAGTCAAGCCTGTTAATTCCCCGTGGGTGCAGCTCCCTGCTTTGTGTACCAACAGCCTGATGTTTTAGCTACGTGTATCTGAATTTAAACTGATTTTTAGGGTATCATTCATACGTTGAATATGCTGTCTTTGCAGATTGTGATAAAAAAATGGTCAATCCCTTGTCCTCTACCTCTAAGTAGTGCCATAGAGACTTTACAGGTAAAGTGCATGCTGTTTTGAAGTTCTTCTAATTTTATTAGTAACTGTAATGCTTTTTTTACACTAACACCTTCAGAATTACTTGTAATTTAAATTCCTTCTTTTCTTAACACAGAAAGTAAAAAGTTTCATGTCTGTGGTTTGGGCTTATTCTTTCATTATGCTATTTTTTTGCATGTATGTCTTACAGGTTTCAAATTCTACTGGGGACTGTAAAGCAAAGCTCTTTCATCTTTCAAAAGAGGTAATCTCTATTAACAATATGCAAACTTAAAGGGGGTGGTGGTTTTTAAAGAATTGGGGTTTAAACTTTATCCAGGGTAAGCTGTTCTTCTGTAAAACTGGTTATGTATAGGCTGCTGAAATGTTTCTTATACCTGCTGCCAAATGTTATCCAGTCTCACTCTTTCTTTTTTATATGAAGGCTGGCTGTCCAAGTTAGCATTTATGAAAACATTTTGCAAATATGACCGGAGTACAAAGTATAACAGATGCAGCAGTGGTCAGCCTCATGATGCAGTCGAATCCAGCCAACTTAATAAATGCCCTCAGCTGGAAGTCAATGCTACTTGACTGTATGCGCACTTTTAGTTCCTGGCGAGGTAGAACTAGTTTCCTGAAACTACCTGGATCTAACCTTAGTTTTTTCTTACCTGAAGCTAATTCTTCAGGCCTAATGCAATCGTGTGCATTTCATGGGATGCCAGCTCTGGTATTTGTTAATTAACATGGCATTTAAATCATGTCACCACCCATCAAGGCTTGCAGGAGAGGAAGTGTCGTGTAGAGCTCTAGTTTCTGTGGGGTGAAGAGGAAGGGAAAAAGGGAAGAATAAATCTGGAATAGATCTGTAGCGTAGTGGAACTTAGGAGGGCCACAGTTGGTTGCATTTGTCTGAAAAAACAAAATCCATCCCCACCCTCCCATGAAAAAGAGGGGGGGAAAAAGAAGCTTTGGCAATGCAAACATGAGGCAAATGTTACCTGTAGAACAAAGAAGAAATGTTGCTTTGACCAGAAACATCTACTGTGAGAATCTGGCCTTTTGTGCCTTGAAGAATCTTGGGACCCTTCTCTACTTCTTTTTTAATTCTAACTTTATCAATAGAAAGTGGCATATTTTTACCAGTACGGGCCTGACTATGTCAGCACAAAAGTGTTTGCTGTAGTTCAGCTTATTCTGCTTGGCAATTGAAGTAAGCTGTACTAGATGATTCATCTCTCTTATTACAAGTTTTTGGAATAATACACCACTAATTGTGTGGTTGCAACTTTAATTAGATAACTGTCTTAAAACTTCAGATGCCAAAGTACGTTACATTTTTCTGAATGCTGTATCCAAATTTTTGTGAAGGATAATAAGAAAATAGTGAAGTCAGGATGAAGGAATCAGTAATTTGACATGTAGCTATGGATATTAGAATTTAGAAAACCTCTTAGAAAATTTCATGAACGATACACTGACTGGGGCAAATCCTACTCCTTTTACATAAGTACTTGGCCTCAATATAGCTAAAAAATAATTGTTCAGTTATGGGCGTATGGACAGCGTGACCTCTCCTGATCATGAAACAGTAAGCTGGCACCACCACTTGAAGAAATCCTGGTTGAAAAGTTCCATTTTTTTGTAGAATGATTCAGAGACGCCATTCTGTGTTGTGGAGATGTATCTCAAAGCATTAATGTGGAAAGATTGCCACTGACTTCCAACACTTGAACTGAATTCTGCATTCATGCAGATATTTTTCCAACCGTCTGTAATACCAACCAACCTACAAAATGTTTTTCTTCTATTTTAGAGTGCTTATGCAATACCAACTATGGCCTTCTCTTTTCTCTGCCATACCTCAGTCTTACCCATCTATTGTGAGCTCCAAAGGTAAGGTATGAAAACACATGCGTTATTAGGAGATAATGATAGTATTTCTGTAAAACTTTCCCTAAATTAATCTTGAATAATTTTTGTTTTCAAGTCAGTGACATCAAAAAATGCAAACCAAGTAGCTTTCATTTCTTTGGGACATGTACAGTTTTAGTCTGTACTGGCTTTTCCTCTCTTACAGGAGAGAAAAGTAGCAAATATGGTTCCATCATCAATGTCAGTACATTGTCCTCGCCTGGACAATCTGGAGAAAAAAGATCATTTGCTAAGGTACTTACTAGTTAATTTTTGTTGCTGTAACTGAATCTGCATTTGGCCACATCTGATTCAGTGGTTTTTTTGACCCAGATTCTGTTCCTGGCTCTGAATATATATCGTCCTGTATAAATCAAAATTTTTATTTCAAAGATACTCTGGTATGTCTGAATTCCTACAAGATGGGGACAATGTTATTTGTCTGCATGAAAAGTGCCCTTTAATTACCAGATTAAAAATAATTTTAAAACCCCTAAATATTACTGACAGCACAGACCTCAGCAAATACTTTGTGGCCATAAATTAAGACAACGCTTTCTTATGAAAGACAAGCTGCTATGTAGATTGCATTGTGTTTTAATAATCCACAGTACAGATTAAGCAACACTAATTTTCTGGGTTTTTTTTTGCGTTTTAGTCCATCGAAAAGTAGAATGCAGAATGTAACTGTCACAGGAATTGGTCTGAGTTTCCTAATATACTTTATGTCTGCTCTGTTTGGGTACCTGACGTTTTATGGTAAGTATATTCTTCAAGTATTCTTTAGAACGAAGGCTAATAACAAATGATGAATGCGTTCTGTCTGAGTGCTTCTGGCTTGTGTGTGCATTGACACACTTGAATCCTCAGAAATATTGTTCCTCTGAAGACTTAAGAATGTGCCTAATGCTGCAAAATATAGCAGTATCATTGACTTCTCAACGTGTAATGTAGCTACGCTGTGCAGGGTTTGTGCCCTAAAATGCCATACGGACAAAGTACTGGTCCCTAACCTGTAGCTGATGGTCTGTTGGTGTTCTCTAATGCTATGTAATTGGGCTGCGGGTTGCCTCTCTATGTAGGCCTGTATGATATTATCACTTAAAAGCTGGGAACGGATTTATCATAGTCTGTGAGAAATTTTGAGATCTGTTAATAGTCATGATTGGCCAACAAGTTTGACAGGTCTGTTCTAAGGCTGTATCTTCTAGCAACATTTGCCACTTACGAACCCTGTGATATCCCAGCGTGTTTGTAAGTCTCAAAGGAGCACTGAGGCCGTTGCCTTTTATGAGGGGGATTTGACCCACAGCAAGCTAGCCCTAATGTTAGGTAGGCATGAAGGTTTGCAGCGTGGCTTCCCTGTCCAATACAGCTTGGGTACAAAGCACGTATGGCTTCTTTGTTGTGTTTTTGTATTTTTACAAATTAGTTGGAACTAACACTAGCTATTTCACTGGAAATCCGCTGGAAGTGGGGAAAAAAAAATTTGCCATGAATCATGCAAGTTAGGAAAGCTTTATTTTAAAGGGTTGAATGAAGTGACTTTTTGATGATACCTTTGTTTATGTGTAATGTAAAGAAAAACTGGAGGACTCCAGAAAATAATGGACAAGGAACATAAGAAAATCAGAAGGTCTGAATTGGAGGAAGCGCCCATCTAGTTTTGTGTCTTGACTTCAGTGAAGGGCAATGGCAAAAGACTAGGGAAGGATTTAAAAATTTTAAAGGGTGAGCTTCGAGTTGGGCTTCCTAGCACATGCTTCTGGTCTTCTGTGATTTGTGTTGCATGCAGTTCCTGAGCCAGAGGTGGTTTGATACAGGAACTGAATGAAGAAATGCACATTTGCCAACATAGTGCATGATGAAGTAAATACACGTTTTTGTTTACCAAACAGAAATGTGGGTGGGGTATGACACTTGCCCTACACCTCTACAAACATCTTTCATTTTCATTTGCTGTAGCACCAGTTTGGTAACTCTGCATTTGGACTTTTGAATGCTTCTGGGTGCTGTTTTTTAGTTGAGTTTAAGCATAGATGGCTTCATCTCTCTGGTATTCTTGCGTTTCCAAAGTACACAGAGAGGTGTCACAACTCTTATCTACATAGCGGCCTTTTCTTAAAGGTCCATCATAACCTTGGCAGAAGTAGGTGAGTGTCTATTTCATGCAGCAGTTTCAGTATCCTGTCATATAATGTCACCGTGGGGTGCCTTTTCTAAGAAATGCCATTCGGCTCTGTGTATCCTGCTGTAAATTCGTGTTACGGTGTGTGGTGCTCCCCTGGCACGCATTGTGAGAGTGAATCGCCTCTACTTGGTGATCCGTCTTCTGGAGTAGTTTCGCACAAATGCCATCGCAGAAATGCGTCACAGTCGCCTGTGAGAGTTCTTCTAATGTCTTCTGAAAACTCACCCTTTTTCTGAGATGATCACATGCTAACCTGTGTTGATTGGAATGAATAAAAAGTCTTACAAGGGACAGTAAGGCAGTAAGACAAAAGTGGTTTTATTAGGATTTCCCCTCCTTTCAGAGTGTTTTACATTTCTTGATCGTGGGGTTGAGAGCGTCTGACAAAGCACCAAGAGTATTGGCTTTCAGCAGCTAATAATTCCAGGTTTCTAGGGGATTTTGCACCTTTTTTTCCCCAAGTATAAGTGTACGTCTGACCATAACTGTCTGAAAATCTTCCCTTGACACTTAGAATCCTTTGAAAAATTATATGGGGAGTCTTGAAACCCCTGATAGCACATAGACCACGATGACTGTTTCCTGACTGTCTCCGTGTGTTTTGTAGGAAAACAGAGTTTTGAGTGCCACTCTGCGAGTGTGAGATTCAGCAGGCAGTGCGGGATAACCATCTGTCTCCAGTTGAGATCGCAACAAGATGTAAAAAAGGAAAAAGATGGGGGGGGTGTGGGGGGAGAAAAACAGCAGTAATCCAGAAACCATCTCAGTTCCCGTTCCCTTCACTCTCGTGATTTCTTTGGGACAAGACCTGCTCTTGACTCTGTAGTCTTTTAGTCTGTTTCACTGGAAACGTTTCTGGTTTTCTGCAAGCCTGATTTCTTTTAGTAACTCTTACAACTCAAGAACCTAAAATGCTGGAACCTGTAGTGGATGTCTGTAAGAGATTTTGTGTTTTCTCCCCCTTGCCAGCTTCGTCCCCTTTTTCACTTTTTGGTTGTCTTGTTTCATTAACTTATTTCTTTAAATAGAGAGAATCTGTGCCCTGTTCCTAAAGCACCACTCTGAGAAAATGTGAAACGTTTTGTTGTAAATTGAAAACAAAAAAAAATTTAAAAAAGAGTCCCCTCTTTGAAAGGAGACATGCTTCATTTCTCTGTGGTTCACATGGTTATTCTCTTTTCTGTGAATTTGAAACTTCGTACGGTGACTGGACTTTTGTGGAAATTTTGGTCCATTCTGAAGTCCAAAAAAGCATAGAGTCAAGGTACACTAAAAAAACCAAACAAACAAAACCAACCAAACAAACAAAAACCCAACACCAAAAAAACCCCAAAACAGTCGGGGTAGCAGACCACTTTCAGGGCTCTGACTTTTGCTGTTAATTTGTGAAAAATTTCACCTTAAAGGCTCAAAAGTCAAAGGTGAAGGATTCATCACTTTTTGCCCCATTTCTGCCTTGACTAGTATGAAAGTAACGCTTCGGATGGTGAGCCCGTGGTGTACAGCACTCTGGTAACTCCACAGTGGAGCCGGTTTTGCGAAGCTGCATGCGCCTGGGGTGGGTAGCAGAGGAGGTTCTTACTGCTGCAGCAAACAGAGCCGTCACTTGAAGGTGTTTGGCCTGGTGCGTTGCCAGTGCAGTCCCCTGGTATCCTCTGGGTGCTGTAAGAATCCAAACTGACAGCCTTCAGGTGTCCTTGCGTTGCATTTGTCCACTCATTTGGCACAGGGAAAATTCAGTCTCAATTGTCAATAGTTTGGTGTGTTTGGGTTTTTTTTTTTGTGTGTAAATAAGAAATGTCTTTTAGAAGTGTAACTGATGCCGGTTATCCTTCTGCATGTCAGTCCAGCAATATATTGCTAACTACAGCCAGTACAAGCCCATAAAGTAGCATAGTTTTGAACATTTCTTTTTCCCTTTAGATTAGAATTGCAGCTTTTGTTTTGAATCATGGAGTTCTGCGTTTCTGCATAATGTTTCTTTGGGGAAAAAAAAAAGGGAAACACAATTCAGCCAATTTAGCAAAATTAATTTATTTCTGGCTTCTAGTTCAGCCAAAAGAATCTAGCACTGACTGCTTCAGACACAAGAAATAAGTGTTATGGTACACTTGGCTTCGTGTCACATCATCTTTCTTTTTAGTGCTTTCTCCTTCATATTTGTATCTTCTCTTTAGGTGGCTTTGGCTTCAGCAGAGGCTCTGCAGAGACTTGCCTGCTGAAGTTTTTTGTAGTTTTCTCGAGGTTATGTACCGTAGTGTGTCAGTAATGCCACAGTGATGCCTGTCTGCAACCCCCCTCTGCTCCACATTGGTCACAAGCAAACTAATCGCGTTGATTGTAAGCTTAATACGCGTTGCTCGTTATCGTAGTTCTCAAATGATTAACAACGCAATTGATTTGTCTTATTTACAGACAAAGTGGACTCTGAATTGCTGCAAGGCTACAGCAGGTACCTGCCCCATGATACTGCCATCATGACTGTTAAAGTAGCCATACTGTGTGCTGTGCTTTTGACAGTCCCTCTAATCCATTTCCCAGTAAGTACTCCTAACGTTTCGAAGCTGGCATAAGCAGTGGTCATGCTAATGCTTTGCAGACTGCAGTACTTCAGTCACATCTAGTCTTGTGTATCTTATTCACTTGTCAAGTGATTGATCAAAGACCACATATTTGCATGTGTTCCATGAGAGCTCCAAAATAACAACTAACCACTAAGCTAATTTGTGCTCTTGAGAGAGATTTCAGATTAAAACTAGCCCACAGCATTGTTTTTAATTTAGAGAATTCAGAACTTCTAAAGTTTATTTAGTTTGATTTTAGTTTGTTTTTTTTTTTTCCTCTTAAATTGAGTTTTGCTGACTTGGTTTTTCCTTTCTGCGTGCACGCACTCACAAACACACTTATACTTGAAAACTCGATTTAATTGTAAATTAAAAACATGTATTGACCTATTTCACCAAAAAACCCTACTTTAATTTATCAATACTATGGTGGGACTGAAAATTCACTCAGTTAGGAGCAAAAAATTCTGTGCATGCAAAACTATGTGTATAGAAGTAGTGTATAGATTACATATCAGTTGGGAACATGCTGGCATTTGCTACCAAGCATGCTCAAAGGGACAAAGCATTATCCCCCAGACCTTCTTTTGTCCCTGCAAAAAAAGGAGTAATCCCTTAAGACTAATGGCCGTGTGATAAATACTGCTTTAGTACTGAAGTGAACTCTGTGCCTCGGAAAGACGAAACATGTAACTATTACTAAATTTTTCTGCATTTTGATTTTTAGAATGTTCTTTCACATCTGGAATGATGTAATTCTTAAGTTTATGAAACTGAGAGAAGATTAAAATATCTGTATATGTACATATTTACCCATGCAATGTTTCTCTTCACGTGTAGGCAAGGAAAGCTGTATTGATGGTATTCTTCTCTAGTCTTCCTGTGTCGTGGATTTGCCATATCCTTGTCACTTTAACACTGAATACAGTTGTTGTATTGTTTGCAATGTACGTGCCAGACATTAAAAATGTATTTGGAGTAGTCGGTAAGTTTTTGTGGTTGTTGTTTTGGTTTTTAACTTCAAAAAATTCAGTATTATCATAAGCTAATATACCTCCATCTTGCTCTAAGTAAAATCTTACTTTCTGTTTTTTGAAGGTTCAACCACATCAACATGTTTGCTTTTTGTGTATCCTGGACTATTTTATCTTAAACTTAGCAGAGAGGACTTTTTATCACCACAGAAACTTGGGGTATGCTTTTTTTTCATGTGTGATAATTCTACTTAAACCGGCTCGGTTTAGATGCGTCTTAATACACTGTAGAGTACATAAGCCAAAGGGCAAAGTTCTTGTTTTTGTTGCAGCACACAAAATCTGTATTTTCTTTTATCCTTCGTGATAGCTCTAGTCTTTCTGAAACTCTTTCTTCGCAAGAGATTTTTGACTAGCAGTACGTCCACATGCTGGACCATTGATCTGAATACATGCTTTTCCCTATAGTTTTCAGATGTTGACTTTTAATCCAATTTCTCCTCAGTTTTTATGTATTACTCTGATTTCATCTGGGCAGCTGGGACAAAGCCAAACTGCATTTAAGTGAAACAGTGTTTATGCTGTTTTCTATGTCAGCCTTCTCAAAACCATGGTTTTGGTTTTTTGGTTTTTTTTTTACTCTTCCTTCCTCCCGCCCCATGGTTTCTCTTCGGTGTAGTACACGAAGTTCTAGCTGGAATTTGTGCAGCAGCCTGCTTTTTGCTGCACTGTAATGGTTGTCTTTGTTTTATCTACTGCTCAGCAGAACAACTTCATGACAGTGGCTAAAATGCTGACAAACTGTTCATACGTAGTCCCTCTGCCTTTCTTACGATTCCTCGCGCTGCTCTTTTGTGACAACGCAGAGAATCTGAAAGAAGATCCAACAATGATGCTCTCTGACTGTGTAAAGTCTTGACTACCACAGATTTGGGGCCTTGTTACAAATCAGCAAGCTCCTGTCTCTTGAACTGTAGTTTTATTATCATCTGGCTATTCAAAAATGTCAAGAATCCCTTGTAACTTATATTTGGAGTAAAATACAAATTCACTTTCTTAATTCGTTCAGAGTTGTAAAGGGCAAATTATTTTTTTTTTTTTCCAATTCCTGATGAAACTATCCCAGAGCAGGCTTAGTTTAGTTTCCTCCTAAGCAGATACTTTGTGTTTGAAGACTGACTAATTTGAAACTTTAAAGATTGTTTTAAGAGACACTATTTAAACCTGTCCTTACAGGTTTTTTCATCATTAGTTATAAGCCTTAGAGCTGTAAAATACTTCCTTCAGTAAAACATTAACTTTTGCTTCTCTTTCTTCACAGGCATGTGCACTGGTTATTTTTGGCATTTGCGTTGGCCTTCTCAGTTTAGTTCTAATAATTTTCAATTGGGTTGATCAGTAACAGCCTATTGTCACTGTCCGAGCTGAGCTTCAGGAGGACAGCGAGAACCAGAGACATGTCAAAACTACTGAAATGGATGCTGGACATCCTGAAGAAAACACTGACCAAAGCTGCCTGTGGAAGAAACAACGTTCTTTTTCACTGCGTTAGTGATGTTCCTTCTTCAATCCTGAGTCACCCTCTTCGGCTACTGGACAATTAGTCTCTGCCATTCTAAAAAACTAGTTTTTAATGATGTCATCGTGACCGGTAAAAAGGTCTCTTGAGAAATTCTGCAGTGCAAAAATGGTTTAGTGCACGTGGTGAACGAAAGCAGAACCTTGAAATGACTTCTCTTTTAAGGACAATGAGATGGGTAGATACTCCATCAGTCGTCATGTGCATATCGTGATGTGTGCGTTCAGCATAATGCACACGTTATCCTGAACCATGAAAGACTTCTGTTGATTGAATAATTTCCAAAATTTCAGCCAGTTCATATTAAAACCTTCCTGATTCCAAATGTTTACCCTCCTTTATCCTAACATGGATCCAGAACCCAGCTGCCTTAGTCCAGTTTAATGGGCACCTCATGATAATATTTGTTGATTGTTTTTTTGGACACAGTTTTTATACCTCCGTGTACTTGAATCATACTGAAGTAATTTTTAAATGAGAAGGCTTTGCCCATCCGGCATAACAGCTTTTGGTAGCATTAGGAAGTATTTCCATTTTGCAGTTAATAGTAGACATTTTTCAATTAATACCCGCTTTTGAACATTACTCAATGTGCCTCAGTATTCCTGCCAGTGAAAGGCTTTTTTCTCTCTTATTCCCATTTTTACAAGTGTTTCATATTTGAAATGGAGTGTTTTTGTATTTTATGTACTGTTGTGTGTCAGAGAAGGCTTGGGCTTGAAAGGTGAAATTCTGCCTCTGTTGAAGACAAAGGAAATGTTACATTTATGGAACCCTAATTTCACCTCTGATCTCTATAACTTCCGTGTACCCTTTTGTCATTCCTTTTCCTTTGTTGCCTAAACGAAATGTGAATGCAGTTTTCAACACCAACTGGGCTCTGTTAAATACGGTATGGAGTGCCCACCACAAAAGCTCCTCGTACTAGTAGAAGGCAAGCAGTGGCTGATACCATGGTAAGGTTTTTAAAATTTGTTTCTATCAGATGGGATCTCGTGTCTTTAAAATAGCCTACTCTCTTCAGAGACTTTATGCCCTAAGGAAGCTAAGCCTGCACAGAAATGGCTTGTGTACAGTTAAGAAATTAGACCTCAGCCTCAAGATTTAGAGAGTGGGAAAGTTCTTCATTATTTCCAGATGCAATATTTCTTTTAATTTAGCTTAGCAGTCTTACATGTGAAGTGGAATAAGACAGAAGTGAATCATAGCGAAGTAATACATTTATGTAATATGAAAGCAGCTAGTGAGTGACACTGAAATAAATTTTTCGGTGGCACAGTTAGCAAATCAGCTGACGATGGCCAGAAAGTCCTGCGAATGTTTTCTCAGTTGGGGTAGGGGAGATGCCTCAGCCTGGCGTAACCCTGAGTGAATGGGCTTGATCCTCACCTGTCTAATAGGGAGGAACAGCAAACAGCAGAGTTGGAATCACCACCTCAGTTCCTGAGCTGACAAACTGGGATTTCTCAGATCACTCGGCTCTCTCAGGATCCATAAGGTACTTTCCGTTTTTGATAGCTGGCCTGAAGGCACCCAGGTGGTGCAGCTTGGTGTTGCTTCAGGAATCCTTTTTGCCTGGGGAATATTCTTCTATTTATGAATTTAATATAGTAGTAGACATGTGCGGTGAGGCCCGGAACGAACTCAGAAATTTTGGTAGGATCCCAAAGAAAAGGATCCCTGGAAAAGACTGCAGTTATTTTTAGAATTATTTATATTATATATAAATATATTTAGAATATTATTTTAGAATAAAGTCTCTAGCAGAGGTTTCGTGAGACAAGGTGAGCCATCAGATAGTCTGTCAGTACCAGAAACAGTCTGTCCACTTCTGTGAACTTCCCAGAAGTTCACAACTACGTCTGTGGCACTGGCCGTGGCTCCTGGTCAGCGTGTTTCACGAGCACAAACCCAACGTGACCACGAGATGTGACACGTTACCTGCCAAAAAAACCCCAAACTGAGCGAGCTCACCTAGGGGACAAGACGAGTGAGGGGGTTGGTAGGAGCGGGACTGCCTTTTTGGGCAGCAGCAGCAGCCGTTAGATCAGCGCGTTTTTCTCATGAAACCTCACGCTTTGCCCGGCAGTTTTGCTTCAGCAGGTTAAAGGGGGCGTGTGCGCGTAGGGGATGCCTCTACCTTGAGGGGTCCCCGGCCTCCTTTTGATCGAGGGGTCGCTCAGACTTTCTCAGCATTGTGTGTGTTTATGGTTGAGAAATACGTATTAGAAATTTTATGGAAATTGTTTCTCATTCATCGTACGCTCTTGTAGCAGGTTATTGAGTAATGCTCGTAATCACTGCAGTCGCTGTGTTTTAAACTCTAACCAGCAAGACTCGGGTTATCTGCGAAGGTGCAGGAAGCGGGCAAAGCTTTGCCAAGCTCTTGCTCTTTCCTCCTCCCCCTGAGAAAGCCGAGCCTTGCCCTGCACTGCAATGCTCTGTTCGTACACAGGCAGTTGGGTTTGTGTGCGTCATCTTAAAAAATGTGACTGAGAAAATACCTGAAACACAGTGTTAATTTCACAGTCGGTTCCTGTAATGCTACAGAAATCACTGCGTTATTTGGTTTAATTCCTGAGCATTATCTGAACTAGCCTGGCTATTAACTAACTAGCCTAATGGGTAGGCTTTGGAATGATGAATACCAGTGAAGTTAATACTCGGTGGGGATGAAGGGAAGCAATTCGCAGCTCTGCTGGAGGGAGCTCTATTATTACCTTTTGGCTGCGGTGCAGAAAGGATAGCAGCACAGGGGGTTACAGAACCTGTGTTATCTTTCATCTGAAAAAAACTGTATCTTGAATTTTCTATGATATGCAAAATACATAGAGAGGGAGAGAGGCAGAAAGAGAAAGATCTTCTATTTCCAAATTTAGAGAAAGGTATGAGTGTTTTCCACGACGAATAAGCAGAGTAAGGGCACTGCTTTTATCCGTTGCATCTCCCACAGACTGTTCTCTTTGTTGTGTCTGTGTAAGGGTTTCACTAGTGTGAATTTTTTGAGCAAAACAAGCCTCCAATCTGGAACTCTCTGCTCACTCCCATGTTGCTAAATACTTTTTTTTTTCTTTATTCTTGTGTACAGATTTTTTTTTTTCCCCCCGAACTTCCAGATTTATAAATTTCAGTGGTTCTGCTTTATTACTCGCTGTTAGCATTTTCCAACCTTCTTTTCTGAAGACTTGACAGGAATGGATGAAGGGGCCCGCAGCACTTGGAAAGGGTGCCTTTCCCCAGCTGAACAAGAACAACAATGTAAGAGATGGAAATTAATTGGTTGCCTTTGATTTGTTTTCTTGTTTTCTCTCTTTCTCCTATTTCCATTCCTTGTTCATTTGAAGGCTGCTCAAATTTCAGACGGACTGTGGTAAGCTGGGTGTGGAGAGTGTCTGTTGTAAACAGCATTGTAGGAGCTAGTGCTGCGAAACCAAAGCGCTCTAAACCTGCCTTTGTATTGGGGGAATGCTCGTGGTTTAGTCCCGTGTTTCTGAGCAGTTTGTATCTTAATCTATTGATTTTCATGGCAGTAAACTTGTTCAAAATTCTCTCTTGTGTCCCTGTATAGTGAAAATGGAGACACTGAAACTGTTGTATCCTCTCTCTGTCCCTCGTTCCACCTTCCCCTTTGCTTCAGTTTTGCATTAATAGTGGTTACCTGGCACTGAACGGAACAGGCCGTTAGCTGAACAGGTCTGAGACCTTTTGGTGTGCCCGTCTTGTCTGTTCTTGTAAGAATTTGTCTTTTTGAAACATGGAGACATCTGAATTTTGTAACATGGGAAGACTGTGCTTAAGTCATTTATGTCACGTGTAGTGTACTCGAGGTGCCGTATTTCCTACTCTTGCAGTCCCCCTGATGAGGCTGAAGACACGATGGTCCATGGGATCCGTCTGACAGCTGCTAGGGCACATGTCGCAGCCTTGAGCAGCTCGTAAGCGCGTTGTTTGCCTGAGGGAGAATGTGGGCTTGTACTTTGTTACAGTATGTTTCATGCTGCGCAAAGCCCCGTCTTGGTACGGATCTGGAGCTCGGTGCTCCCGCGGCTGAAGCCCGTGGAGGCCGCAGGGATGCAGGGCAGCCGTCAGTCCACGCCTGCCTGTTTTGAGGCTCCATGGGCGTCTCCTTTGGACAGAAGTGGAGAGGGTTATGGACCTATGTGGGTATTTCATCTGGCCCGGTATGGCCAGTCTCATTTCAAATAAATTCCTGAAATTAATTTTGAGAATTATTCATGAAGAGTATGACACACTTGCATTAGCATCAGCATGACCTGGGATAGGTGAGGACAGAAGCGTGCCTGTTCTTCAGAAGTATCAGCGATGGCCCCGTTTCGCGGAGCCGTACCTCGCCAGTGGGCCAGCTCTGAGCCCTTGCTGAGCCAGAGGGAGGTTCGGAATTCGGAGTCCTGCCAGTTCAGCAGCGTGGGGTCTTCCTGTGGCTTACACTGACATTTCTACAAAAACCAGAGAGAGATGGACATACTTACCGGTGCATCACTACGAATACTTGAAGACTGATCAACTTGTTTCCAAATGTCCCTACTTAAGGAAATGAAAATTAACATCCTTATCTCTGCAGTGGGCATCCCAATGTGCTCTCTGGTTAAAGACTGAAATGCAGATCAGCCCAGGAGCTGGAGTTACATGGATTGTTGTAGAATTCCTTTCCCAATTAGATTTAACTTAACTTTGCCTGAAATTGTTGTTTTACAGATGACTTTCATGTTGAAAGTATTCGTTCTAGTTGCTCTGCCTGCTGAAAAACCTTTGGATGTGTTTACTGCTACTTCCTAATGACTGCCACTGGGAGAAAATTTTCA